AACTTAAGTCATACCAGAATCAGGTTTAGCAATTGTGGAATTTGAAATTGCACACTTTTCATAACATATTATATAGCAATCAATAGACCTCAACGCAATACATCAGATGTGACATGTCTTGTCATTGGCACAAATTGCCCAGCGAATTGGCTAAGAAAATACTCAATATAACTCATACAAGAAGAAGGTTTAGCGGTTTTAGAATTTGAAATTGAATGTTTTTCACAATATATTATATATCAATCGATAGAGCTAATCGAGATACATCAGATACGACATGCCACGTCATTGGCACACACTCCTCTACGAATCGGTTAAGTGAGAATACTCCCTCTTAATTCATTCAAGCAAAAGTTTTAGCAATGATAGAAGTTGAATTTTAATGTTTTTCATGATATATTTTATATCGATTGAGAGATATGGTCGAAGCTTATTGGCTGATACGAGTTTAGTATAGAATTCACATTATGAGTCATTGGTTGGAGTACTTGTTGCAGTACAACACAAATCTAAGACTGTAGAAAACTTTTATGCTAAAGTTTGATTTGTGTAATGACAAATTATATATCATTCAATAGAGCTTGTTAAACTGAATCGAATGGGATTATTTTCCCGTGTGGCACAACTTATGTAACGAATTGGGATATGAAACACTTCTTGAAATGCTAATTTTAGATGTACACCAAAATATAAATCTTCATTGATTCAATTTATCAGGGCTTATTATACACCATTAGATAGAGCTTGTTGAATTACATCGATTGATTCAAATTTGAAAAGTGGCACAAATCGTGAATCGAATATTTCTGAAAAATATCTATTTTGTATTTTTTCCGCCATGATGAAAAATTATATTTTATGGTTTTTTTCTTTGTTGTGGATTTCGTTTTTAGAAGTAAATATACCATTCGATAGAGCTCATTGAACCCTATCTGGCACACAACATTCCGTAGTTGGCACAGTTGATTGTGCGAATCGATCTAGAAAAAACTCGAATACTTCGCTAACTTCCCTTACATGGACTAAAAAAGACTTTCTACACCTTGCGCCATCAGCTGAATTTTATGTCTGGATCGTTCGCAGACCAAATTATCAAAATGATCGAGTCTCGGTAAAGAGTATTGAAGATATAAAAGACGATGAAAGATATCGTGAAATGGTTAAAAATCACGTGTGTATTGGGATTTTTGTGATTTTTACTGCCAATAAGTTACATTGGGTTATCAAAGACAAAGGTGAATCTTGGACGGGCCAATATTTTCGTGATACAATTCTAATGCAACATGTGATACCATTTCTAAAAAATGAAGAAAATGTTATCGATCCGGATGAAGTAATATTTGTCTATGACAAAGCACCATGCATGCGAGCAAATATGACTCAACATTTGCTTCAAGACAATAACATCAAATTCTGGGGAAATTACACTTGGTCCGGAAACTCGCCTGATCTAAATGTGGCTGAACATATTGGAACAGTAATTAAAAATGAAGTTGAAAAAAAAATGCTATCAGAAACGGAACATGATCGTTATCGAGGAGAAACTTTGAAGAAACGCATTTCAGATGTTTTGAAAAATATGGAAACGGATATTGAATTATTTGAAACTCTCTTATGTTCGTATCCGTCACGTCTTCGTACTGTAAAGAATGCTAACGGTCGTCATACTGATTATTGATTATATTCA